ATTGCGTACTGCATTTTTGTATGAAGTATGAATGTTTTTCACCAATTCTACTCACAAAGAACAAAGTTTGCAACATAATATAATACAAATATACGCTTAAAATGTTATAAGTTACTATAAACAACTTAAAAACTACTGCAACGTACGTCTGTCATATGCTATTTAACTCGCGCTGACTTTACTAACTCTACGCATGACGTCAGCGCCGCCATAAAACCATGCGTGATATCCCCCCTGTTATGACATGGGACACTAAATAATATATAGGTAACATTATGCATTATGCATAAAATGACTATGTTCAGAATCGTGATATGTAAACGTTAAAATTCTTATAGAAAAGGGTCAATAATAAAACATAAAATATTAAAATCGTAGAAAATATCTTAACATCTATTAGTCGTACGGGGTAAACCTTTTGAGTCTTCATCTGATAATTGGTTCGGACACATGATTTTCGGTAAAATTATTTAGATGCGACACCTTGTTCTCTATTGACAATTGGGATTAGTGTCCAATAATCCAGTATTACTGGTGAAGTTTAAGCCTTTGTAAAAAGGTACTTTTTCCATGATAGTTTTCTGTGCAAATGTGTTCCAATATATTTGGCATTTTCTCTTTGCAGGACCTCTTTATTGTTAAGAGTGAGTGCAGGACAGCTTAATCTTCTGTTTATGAAGGTTAAGGGAGTTAAATTTACTCCGATCACTTTTATTCTCAACTTATTTGTATATACCTAAGTGTAGTTTGTCAAGTTCTGTTTGTATGGGATGTTAATACAGATGTGTCGTCAGTATATGTAACGATTAACGCATTAACTGATGTCTGTAAGTCAGATGTATATAAAAGGTATAGAAGCGGTTTCAATACGCTTCCTTGTGGAACCCCGAAATTCATTGAATGGACTGGTGAGTATTCATCTTAATGTTTTAGTATAAATTTTTGATCTTCAAGCTTTGCTAATATCTTCCAATTTTTGCATAATTTTAATAGTCACACGTTGGATTTGTTCAGAAATAACTTTTTCTAAAGTATTGGTGCTAATCCGACTTTTATTATCTTCTCTAACAGTTTATACAGTAATAAAAACAAGCCTATTGGTTTGTATGTAGTTAACGTTATCAGTTGGTTTTCCAGGTTAGGGTAATAGAATTATTTGTGCTAATTTCCACTGAATTGGAAAATGTCCCGTTATTAATATTGCGTTAAAAATTAGTGTTCTTATTTAAACAGCTTTTGTAGGAAACTCCTGGTGGTTATAAGATCATAACCAGGGGATTTTCCATTGATAGGCATACCAATAGTATTGTGAACTTGACTGGTTGTTATCTTGTTCAGAGTGGGTTCCAACCTGATATTGAGAATTGAGATATTGTTATATGTTATGTTCATATTTATTTGTGTCATTTTTTCTTTATTGTTTTTCAAACAGTTTCTCTCTTCATTGCATATAGGAGGATTGTGGAGATATGAGGTGTTTAATTTTTTGGCGACCTTCCATAGAGAATATTTAGAGGCTGCTGCTATATTGAAATTACTTAAGTATTGCTGTATAGAGTTTTTTGTGATTGTTGAGTATTCTTTTGAATTTTTGTTTTGCTCTATTTAAAATCGTTTTTTCTGCAGGTGTTCTTGTGTTTTGCCAAATTTTGTGTAGTATTCTTTTGTTAGCTATTTTTTTTTTGAAAGTCCTTAGTTTTTAAAAAACGCATCCATGCTGGAGTTGATTGAATAATCTTTGTAAGACATTCAACCGATTCTGTTATCTTGGCATCTGTTTTTGAGAGAGATCTAACATCTAGACTGTTGTCGATCCGTTCTCTAAATTTGTCCCAATTTGTATATTTGTTACCCATTGAGAAAGGGTTTTCTATTATTTGTTTCTCTTTTTATGGCAACCAATACAGGTAAATAGACTGTGGAGAAGAGTACTTTAAAAAAATTATAAATAAACACTTGTTATTAATCAAGCTGTGTTTTACTTTATTAGGCTCAAAGAAAAGATATTAAAAAAATCAAACTTACAATCCTTAATTCCATGATTTCTATTTATATTTATAAATAATCAGTGAATATTCTAATTAAAACGACTGTTACCATTTTGCAAAATACTAATTACAGTTTTAGTGAAAATATTTGTAGTTGTTTTATGCACAACATAATTTAATCAACAGCTTGACTAATTGTCTATAACATTAAAAATAATCTATGCAAAATGAAACCCCAACAAAAGTTATTGTTTAAAGTTAAATAACGAATCCTTTAAAACAATAAACTGTTCGATAAGAAATAAATTAAATGAATTATTACTTTAAATTGAGATAAGCAAATATCACACATTGTAGTTAATTTTATAATAATAGTAACGGGTAGGTCATTTATATGTTGAAATATAAATTAGCAATGAGGACAAGAAAAATTTTTTTTCCAACAAATGTAACCTTATTTAATACAATATTTCTTCCGATTAGTATAGAAAATTATTTCATTTAAGTGACCACCTCGACTGGCTTGGCAGTAGCCCATCCTGGAACACCAATTTTCAAGCACTTTTTCAAGAGTTTGCTGCTCTATTTGAGCAATTTAAGCTTGAATATTCTGTTTTAAGTGCTCAATTGTTTAAGGATTATCCGCATAAACTTTATCCTTCAATGCATCCCAAAACAGAAGTCAAGTGGTGTTAAATAGTAGCTCCGAGGTGGCCAATTAACATCTCCGAAACGTGTAATTACACGAATATTAAATTTTGTGCGCAAAAGATTGATGGTGGCCGCAATGGTATGGCAAGTTGCCCTGTTGTTAAAACCAGACCTGACTGAGATTCATATCATTCAATTCCTGCCACAAAAAGTTCGTTATCATCTCCCGATAGACGTAATTCTTAGTCTCACTCCTCTGAATATTAAAATCAAGGCAGTTGCTCTCATGATAATGATATCCCTCCGCATGGTTGAAATAAAACTTGATGTATGATCTGGTGAGGCAAAACGCTGCTTTTCGCAGGAGGCGCTTGATACCCTCCCACTGCTTCAAACGAACATGGACTCCATCTCACTGAAATATATCTTTCATAAGCCATATAAAGTTATAAGAGAGCAAATAAAAGATATCTACACCGACGCTTCTAAAACAAAACAATACTGAGGATGTGGAACATACTTCAGATCCTTAAATGTTAATATTAAATGGGCTGTGAGAAATAGTGCCAGTGTAGTTCAAACGGAGCTCACGGGGATTCTCATAGCAGCAAAAGAAATCAACAGAAACAATATTACTGGAAGAAACATACAGATAGGAGACAACCACCACTTACCCGGAACAGACCACGAATTTACTCAAAGTTAGTACCATAGAATGTAATGAAGCTTTGGCCAAAATATCCATCAACAATGTGGTAATCTTAAGATGGATTAAAGGTTACACCACATCGAAAGTGCTGATTCGCTGGCTAAGAAGGCCAACCACTTTGCACTATTAGAAGATTTGTATTTGGCGAGTATTGGCTAATACCGCCCGATATAAGAAAAGCATCTGTTGGCGAGATTGTCAACTACAATAAATATATGGGCTGGCTTCTGAGCTATGAGGTGCCTATCATCTAAAGAGAATGCACAACGGGCTTATTGAGGCCCAAGTGCCGTGGGGTAACCCAACCTTCACACGTTCCTGGCATCTATCTTCAAAAATTAAAAATAAATGGCCATCATAAAAATAGGGCCTCACGAACTGTTTTCCTATCATTCCACCATAAACGTTTAACGACCATCGGTTTTGTCAATCTACGGCTCGAAATTCATGTTCATTTTCGGAAAGTAGATTTATCAGTAGAGTATTTGATAAAAGTTAATATTTAGAATTGTACGATACGCCACTGAAAAAGATTATATTTTTGGTAATTTTATTATAATTCATTGCTTAAAAATTAATAAAAAGCAAAAAATAAACAAACTTGACGAATAACATGTATTACTCTGGAGTGAGGCATGTACAATATATAAATACCAAGCTGTATAATAACTAAATAAAATAAATAATATAAAAAAATATATAAATTATATATGATCCATGTTTATTATTTACCTGTAAAACGTAAAATCTGGTTATTGCTTGTCACTACCACTTTTAAACTGACATGCAACCCAATAAATCATTCTAAAAAACTAATGATCAAATATGGTTTAATTAAAAAATCACAAATACAATCATACACGGTAAATGGGCAAAATATTTTTGCTTCACTTTTAGATCAGCAGGCTTAAGAAGAAAGGATTTAAATTTTTTTTACCTTTGTAGGTAAATGCCTCAAATATTATGTTTATTAGTAGATATAGGAGTAAGTCGTAAAGAGACCAAATATTTTTAAATAAACAGGCTTAAAGTATAAATCAAACAAATATTACTATTATACGGGCGCAAGAGGTAAAAATATCAAATATTTTTACATATATTTTTAAACATTTTAAAACTATAATCAAAAAGCAACATAAAATGGTTCTTAAAATTCAGAGATAGCAACATGAATACAATCTACGTAGTTTACCCAGGTACCGCCCTTGCTTGACAAACCTGAATATTCAACGTCTTAATTAGTACTTTAAATTGGATTTTAGTCTTTCGTTCAAAAGCAAATCGATTCTCGTTTCTTTAATGCTATAAGATTTCAGAATCGATAATTACCATTAAAGCGTCTCTCGAATTTGAATATTTAATTTAAAAAATATTATTAATATTTTATTATGCATTTTTTATTCTACCTTTTATTATTTCCTATTTTATAAATGAATTGTTTTCTATTTATTGAATTCTAAAAACTAAAAATAAAATACACTATGACACTGTATTTATATTTGGTAGTTATCCTTTACGTTTACAGTTCCAAGCAGTATATTTGTTATTTTGTTCAAAGAATCATAAAATTTAGGACGGTACTAGATATAGGTTTCCTGTGACAATGTTCTGTAAGTAAGTTTTTCCTGCAATAGTAGTCAGTACATATTGACCTTGTTCTTGTATACCCTGTCCTTGTATACCCTGTCCTTGTATATCCTGTCCTTGTATACCCTGTCCTTGTATACCCTGTCCTTGTATACCCTGTCCTTGTATACCCTGTCCTTGTATACCCTGTCCTTGTATACCCTGTCCTTGTATACCCTGTCCTTGTATACCCTGTCCTTGTATATTCGGTCCTTGTATACCCGGTCCTTGTATACCCGGTCCTTGTATACCCTGTCCTTGTATACCCTGTCCTTGTATATTTGGTCCTTGTATACCTTGTCCTTGTATACCCTGTCCTTGTATACCCAGTCCTTGTATACCCTGTCCTTGTATACCCTGTCCTTGTATACCCTGTCCTTGTATACCTTGTACTTGTATACCTTGTAATTGTATGCCCTGTCCTTGTATACCTGGTCCTTGTATAGTCTGTCCTTGTGTAAGATAGCATGGTACACCTCGTTCTTGACAATTTTGTACCGCAAAACCTTGTCCTGCTAAAACTTGTCCTGGATCATATTGTGCTGTATAATCCTTTACTGAAAGCATTTGTCCTGTATTACTTGAAGCTGATTGAGCTTGCGATGCTATATCCTTAGATGAAATAACCTGTCCTGAATAATCTCCTACTGGCAAATTTTTTGAGTAACCCTGCGATTGTATATCGTTCACATACCCCGATACACCATGTTCTAAATTATTTTTTTCCATGTTACTCGAAGGTAAGTAATCTTGCGATGGTTCATCCTCAGAAATACCCAAGAAGTAGTTCTTCACATAATTACCTATCCAAGGCACAACCAAAGTTTTTGTTAATTCTACGAGTTTTGCTACGATGGTGCACCTTGCAAAAGGAACGGCTATAAGCATAACAAATATAATCGGAACCTGAAACAAATACAGATTCTCAGATTTTCCTAATAGCCGATTATTTTAAAACTGCTATATTTTCGATATTAGATATTTTTGGTATTTTTTGTTAAACATGTAGACATCTCTGGGCCGTACTTGTGCTTCAGGATGTGTAAATTGTCCAGTAGTTTGTCGACTGAACGACTGCTATAAGTAAGGCATTTTAAATATATCATATGAATGAATAGAGCAGTAGGATTTCCAAATGGTTGTACACTAAACCTCAAGAATGCAGTGTCGCCAAGCTTGAATTCCAAGGACCTAGTGATACCTAAAAACAATGTGATCAGAAGAAAGGAAAAAACAGAGACCCCTTTTAGTATTAACCATAATACAAACGTGTTAATTTTTTCATTTACAAATTTCTTTATCATCTTCACGGAAAAGTTTCTAGTGACTTGTTACTTGTTTCTTTTTAGTAGATGTGCCCCATAATATATCTTTCTTATTGACGGTATTTTATTGCAGTACTCTTCTATGTTTAAACTTATATGCCCTATACTATTCTATCTTGCTTCGTAGATAATAAATATCCTATGAATTAATGATTTTATTATTTCTAGGAGTACCCAATTTGATACAACTTTCTGCATCTCCTAATCCTTTTCTCCCGCTCTCCCATTTCATCCCGCTTCCAGATTTCCTTTTTGACCACTCATTACACATATTTTACTTCCATATATACAGCAATGTTGGCCAAGCTACTGCTTCGTAGATATTCATTGTAAAAGTATTTTTTTTTTTTATTTTTTGCTTCTAGTTTTCTTTTTGGAAAATGAGGTAAATTTGTTTTAGAGAACATAAATCTTGTACCTGTTCTACGACAAATAAGAGGTTTGTTCCAGCAGCTCAGTTTTTCTGTGTCTCTAACTTGTGCATGAATGTGTTCGTAAACTAACCACCGCGCATGTCAGTTAGTTTATTTGTCCGTTGTTTTATCAGCGCAAGATAAATGTACCTCAAATTGTTAGTAATAGTAGAAGAGTTCAGTAAATGACTTTTATATTTTAAGTTCTGTAATATTTTAGTTAAAGAATTAAGTTACTTATTAGTCTTTGACTAGATTCTATAGTACTAAATAAAAAAATAAAACAGAAAGGAGTAGGACGAGTTGAGATGTACGTTAATATCTTTTTTATAAATTTTTCTTAATATCGGGATTCGCTCTAATCTAATTCATGTGAAGGGGTATGAGTTTGCTGTTCTTAAGTACATAAAATCTGAGTTTTTTCGCATATATAATTATAATGTTAAATGAGAAGCCCTGCATAATTTATTCTACCTATATACAGGGAGAGTCGGGAGGAGCGTACCAAACTCTAGGAGTATATTATACACGTGAATATAATGTAAAAAAAACTCATATGTTCTTATCCGATTTTCATTTGTTTTCAAGTTATAGCATATTAACAAATAAACAAATTTACAATTAAAAATTCCCTTAATCATAGCGTTCTTTCAATAAATGTTCAAAAATACCGTCATTGACTTCTAAACATTTTCTGCTTCGTCTACGAAGATCGTTGGTTGCTCTCCTAATTGATTCATTTCTTTCTTCTTTAATATGGGCTGCAGTATTCTTAATTCGTCTAATTGGTGCATCCCGTGTGTCCAATTTTATTTTGTAGACTTCATTTTTCACCCAGCACCATAAACAAAAATCTAATGGTGTGAGGTCTGGAGATCTTGCAGGCCAATTAATAGGACCTCCACGACCAATCCAACGCCCTGGAAAACGTTCGTCCAAATGTTGCTTGACCTGACGAGCGACATGTGCAGGAGCTCCATCGTGCTGATAGTATATCTGTATTCTAATATTTACAGGAACATCCTCTAGCATTTTGTAAAAAATTGAGGTTGTCTCCTGTAAGACGATTCTCCAAAATGAAAGGGCCAATTAAATAACTGTCAACCATACCACACCACACGTTTACAGAAAATCGATGTTGAAAATTGCTTTCGACTGTTGCGTGGGGATTTTCGTCTGACCATACATGATAGTTACGAGTATTATTAATGCCATCACGGGTAAATGTAGCTTTATCCGTAAAGTGTATACTCGATACAACACGATTATTATTTATCCACCGACAAAACTCCATACGGTTAGGGTAATCCTGTGGTTGTAGGTGCTGTACTCTCTGTACGTAATAAGGATATAAGCCTTGCTCGTGGAGTGTGTTTATCATTATTTTTTGTGGAATTCCCAATTGAGTGGCAATTCTCCGTGAGCTAGTAGTTGCATCTTCTTCTACTAGATGCAGAATATTTTCTACTTCTACAAAACCTTGTCGAGAAGCGCGTTCAGATGTTATGAAAGCACTGGGAAGCTTACCAGTCTCGCACAATTTGTTGAACATTTTAATAAATACGTTTTTATCAGGATGTCTTCGGTGTGGAAAACGTTGACGATATTCTTCAGCAGCAGCTGTAGCATTTCCATTACAGGAACCACAAACAAACACCATATTTGCATATTCTAAATTTGAATAAGTATCTGGCATTTTGCAACACTAACAATCACATAAATTCGAAATTAAACGTTCAGTTACTGTTCACTGTACACTGACAGTTCATCAAAGCGTCAGAATTATCAAATGCCTTTGAGCCTTGAACATATGGCATACATAATGTTAAAATTCGGAAGTGCAAAGCTAGATGAACATTTTTAATTACTCCATAACTTGAGTTTTTTTTACATTATTTTCACGTGTATAATATACTCCTAGAGTTTGGTGCGCTCCTCCCGACTCACCCTGTATAACCAAAACAATATATTCAATAAATTACAAAACGTTTTTGTGACATTTTTAACCAGTGCGAGAGACAAAAGTCAACGACAGAAAGATCGGTCTAGGGGTAGTGTTTGCTGCCTGTCGCGCTCAGTTATCGCTTGCATTTCGAAGTGATAAGTCGGTATTTTATAGAAATGGTAGTTGCAAAGTTCTTTCGCTCTATCATGGGCAGTGTTGCCTGATGTAAATTTGCTGGAACACTATGGGAAAAAATACCGTTGATCTTAATACAGGGGGAAATAATTATAATTTGCAGTGTAGTAAATAAAACAAACAAATATATAAGAAACGAAAAATAAACATTTTTCTACCAAAATTAGAAAGTTTACAAGTAATAAAAACGGGTAAAGGGCCAAATACTTTTACATATTCAGACATACACGGTAAATGGTCAAAATATTTTTGCTTACGAAGAAAGGAGTTTAATTTTTTTTACATGGATAGGCTACAAAGGTTAATGCCTCAAATATTATGTTTACTAGTAGATATAGGAGTAAGTGGTAAAGAGACCAAATATTTTTACATAAACAGGCCTAAAGTATAAATCAAACAAATATTAGCATTATATGGGCGCAAGAGGTAAAAATATAATATATTTTTACATACATTTTCAAACAATTTGAAACTCTAATTAAAATGGTTTTTAAAAACAAAAAATAGCAATAAGAATACAATTTACGTAGTTTACCCAGGTAACGCCTTTGGTTGACAAACCTGAACATTCAACGTCTTAATAAGTACTTCAAATCGGCTTTTATTCTTTTGTTCAAAATCAAATCGTTTCTTGTTTATTTTATGCTATGATATTGGAGAATCGATAATTACCAATATGGCGTCTCTCGAATTTGAATATTTCATTTGGAAAATATTAATATTTTATTATGCATTTCTTATTCTACCTTTCATTATTTCCTATTCTATAGATGAATTGTTTTTTATTTATTGAATTCTAAAAACTAAAAATAAAATACACTATGACACTGTATTTATATTTGGTAGTTATCCTTTGCGTTTACAGTTCCAAGCAGTATATTTGTTATTTTGTTCAAAGAAACATAAAATTTAGGACGGTACTAGATATAGGTTTCCTGTGACAGTGTTCTGTATGTAAGTTTTTCCTGCATAAGTAGTCAGTATATATTGACCTTGTCCTTGTATACCCTGTCCTTGTATACCCTGTCCTTGTATACCCTGTTTTTGTATACCCTGTCCTTGTATACCCTGTCCTTGTATACCTTGTAATTGTATGACCTGTCCTTGTCCTTGTATACCTTGTCCTTGTATACCTTGTCCTTGTATACCCAGTCCTTGTATACTCTGTCCTTGTGTAAGCTTGCATGGTACACCCTGTACTTGACAATTTTGTCCCGGAAAACGCGTTTCTGAAATAACCTGTCCTGTATAATCCGTTACTGAAAGAATTTGTCCTGTATAACTTGAAGGTGAATAAGCTTGCCATGCTGTACCATCTGCTGAAATAACCTGTCCTGAATAATCTCCAACTGGCAAAACTTTTGAGTTTTCCTGCGATTCTTTATCGTTCACATACCCCGATACACCATGTCCTAAATCATCTTTTTTCATGTGACTCGAAGCTAAGTGATCTCGCGATGGTTCATCCTTAGAATTACCAAAGAAGTAGTTCTTCAGATAATTACTTATCAAAGGCACAACATAAGTTTTTATTAGGTCTACGAGTTTAGCCATGGAACACCTTGCAGAAAGAACGGCTATAAGCGTAACACATATAATCGGAACCTGAAACAAATACAGATTCTCAGATTTTCCCAATAGCCGATTATTTTAAAACTGCTATATTTTTGATATTAGATATTTTTTGGTATTTTTTGTTAAACATGTAGACATCGCTACGCATTCGGCGTACTTGTGCTTCAGGATGTGTAAATTGTTCAGTAGTTTGTCAACTGAACGATCGCTATAAGTTAGGCACTTTAAACATATCATATGAATGGGTATAGCAGTAGGATTTCCAAATGGTTGTACAATAAACCTCAAGAATGCAGTGTCGCCAAGCTTGAATCCCAGGGACCCCCTTTAGTATTAACCATAATAAAAACGTGTTGGTATATACAAATTTCTTTATCATCTTCACGGAAAAGTTTCTAGTGACTTGTTACTTGTTTCTTTTTAGTAGATGTGTCCCATAATATATCTTTCTTTTTGACAGTATTTTATTGTAGTACTCTTCTATATTGAAACTTATATGCCCTGTACTCTTCAGTCTTGATTCTTAGATAATAAATATCCAAATAATTTCGGCAATGTTCGCTCAGCTACTGCTTCGTAGACATTCCTTGTAAAAGTATTTTTTTAAATATTGTTTGTTTCTAGCGTTTTTCTTCTTGGAAAATATGGAAAATTTGTTTTAGAGAACAAAAATCTCTTACCAGTTCTACGACAAATAAGAGGTTGGTTCCAGCAGCTCAGTTCTTATGTGTCTCTAACTCGTGCATGGATGTGTTTCTACACTAACCACCGCGCATGTCAGTCAGTTTATTCGTCCGTTGTTTTATCAGCGACTTGTACTTGTTGGAAAGCAAAATGCAATGAAAATGGACAAACCAACCAAATGTTAGGGGAATAGGTATTTTAGACATTCATTTGAAACATACCACAACCATTCGTATGTACAAAATGCGCCGCACGAGGCATTCGGTTCGGCCGCGGCTTGCCTCATTCGCGTACGTGCTCCGGGCAGCGAACTGGCATTGTTTACTATGCTACAACGCATTCATGTTGTTGCAACGCGTTAGAGAATGATTGAATAGTCACTCTCTATACCTAGACAAATCTTACTGCGACTCAGCACTAGCAGGTGTTCAGACGTAGTAACTATTGTATTATGAACATATGAATACGCCTGCCACTCTCGAGGCATTGTTTACCGCGTTGCAGTCGAAACCATGCAAATTTTTTTGTGATTTTGTAGGACTATATCATAAAAATATCATATTAATAATATACTATCGTCAAAAAATAGTTTATTAAACCACACTAAAATACAAAAAACACAATAAATACAAAATACACTAGTCATATTACATTTATATTTATTTAAAAGAAAACTATTGTAAAATGGTAAGCATACGAAGTTTAATCCTAGTGGGCATTTCCATGTGATTTCGCATTTGGTCTATTAAGATCAATATATTTTTTTAAAGATCTTTGTTTTTTAGGGTTGTTTGGTATCTCCTTCTTGGATGGCCTCCCAGCTTGAATGCTCGATGTTGAGTTGGAACGCGGTAAACAATGCCTCGAGAATGGCAGCGTATCCATAATACAATAGTTACTACGTCTGAACACCTGCCAGTGCTGAGTCGCAGTAAGATTTGTCTGGGTATAAATAGGCGACTGTTCAGTCATTCTTTACCGCGCTGCAACAATATGTATGTCTTGCTGCATAGTAAACAATGCCAATACGCCTCCGGGCACCTATCCTCGACTAGTGCGTTTAAGCGCTCGCTTTGAAGAGATGCGAGTGGTTCAATGCGAAGACGCATTTGAAACCGTATTCTTAACCCTTCGTATCTGTGCCTTCATAATCCTCTTTTATAAATGCGAATGACAACTTGGCAACCATGTATGATCGACGATTATTTTATGTTAAATTGTCTGTTAGAAAAAGGACTCAAAGTTCACACCGCTTGTTTTGTGAAAATTATTCATAAAAAAGAGGCAATATTAATATGAGTAATGGTTTTGAGCATGAAGTCGTGGTTTTGGGTTGTTTTTTGATGTACTGTTTGGCTATACATAATTTGCAGCGTTATAAAATGGAAAATATTAGTAAAAAGACACATATAATTAACCGAAACAATCTGATGGAAAAGAGGGAAAAGAGGGAAAAGAGGGAAAAGAGGGAAAAGAGGGAAAAGAGGGAAAAGAGGGAAAAGAGGGAAAAGAGGGAAAAGAGGGAAAAGAGGGAAAGAGGGAAAAGAGGGAAAAGAGGGAAAAGAGGGAAAAGAGGGAAAAGAGGGAAAAGAGGGAAAAGAGGAAAAAGAGGGAAAAGAGGGAAAAGAGGGAAAAGAGGGAAAAGAGGGAAAAGAGGGAAAAGAGGGAAAAGAGGGAAAAGAGGGAAAAGACGGAAAAGACGGAAAAGAGGGAAAAGAGGGAAAAGAGGGAAAAGAGGGAAAAGAGGGAAAAGAGGAAAAAAATAAATAAAAATAAATAAAAATAAATAAAAATAAATAAAAATAAATAAAAATAAATAAAAATAAATAAAAATAAATAAAAATAAATAAAAATAAATAAAAATAAATAAAAATAAATAAAAATAAATAAAAATAAATAAAAATAAATAAAAATAAATAAAAATAAATAAAAATAAATAAAAATAAATAAAAATAAATAAAAATAAATAAAAATAAATAAAAATAAATAAAAATAAATAAAAATAAATAAAAATAATGAAAAATAAATAAAAATAAATAAAAATAAATAAAAATAAATAAAAATAAATAAAAATAAATAAAAATAAATAAAAATAAATAAAAATAAATAAAAATAAATAAAAATAAATAAAAATAAATAAAAATAAATAAAAATAAATAAAAATAAATAAAAATAAATAAAAATAAATAAAAATAAATAAAAATAAATAAAAATAAATAAAAATAAATAAAAATAAATAAAAATAAATAAAAATAAATAAAAATAAATAAAAATAAATAAAAATAAATAAAAATAAATAAAAATAAATAAAAATAAATAAAAATAAATAAAAATAAATAAAAATAAATAAAAATAAATAAAAATAAATAAAAATAAAATTTTAAAGTATCGCATGAAAAAATTTCTCACGAGTAACGAAAACTTTTAATAATTGAGGTTTGAGAAAATCCAGCAAAGCGGGATCAGGTCAGCTAATATACTATAAATATTTGTTTATTTAGTAATATAATTTTGTTTACTACTCAAAAAAAATATTTGGTAACAACGTATAACTGCAACAGGTGGAATGTACCGAGCATGCGCAAAAATGATATGACACAAAATAGATTACATTTTCTTTCGGGAGTTTGACATCTGCCAAATTTTATAGTTTTTATTGTGAATTAGTTGTCTTAAACTACAAAATGAAATAAGATCGGCTTGATTTAGTTTTATGTGTGTTTAACAGTGATTTAACATAAACAAAGATAGGTAAGAATATATAATATTATAAATATTACCTATTTTAATTTTGTGCCATAATATTAACTTTCACATCACCTAATATAAATTTTTCACCAAGACTTGACAAGAAGTTGTTGTAGTCTTCTCTTTTAAGATTATATCTGGATGGGACGGCAGATGAAATAGTGAGCACATATTTTTTTTAATTCAACAGATATACCAACGGCTTGTATTTCTTCAGTTTCACTTTTTCCCCATACATAGTGTGTTATGTTATTTGTTCGGCAAAATTGTTTAAATGAATGGCATTATAGATCTGATATCCGTTTATGTTACGTCTTTGAGGTCAGGCATGTGTACATATGTTGTGTCTCTAAGGTTATTAATAACTCTTGCTGGTGTTGTAAGAGTCCATTTGTGTTCCTTTCAAGAATCCTTAGGAAAGTAGTAATTTTCGCTTTTATCGTCTTTTACTATTATTATTTTCTTTTCTGTCCAGCCCTTCTAGAACTGTTTGTTAGTTTCTTTCTGTTTATTCATTAATTTTTGCAGCAATGAAGTTACAGGATCAATACTGCTCTCTACGGTCGGTTGGTATTAACATATATTTGAGGTATATGTTAGTTTATTAAAAGTTATTAGATTACATATAAAGTTGTCAGTTCAAAAGGTAAACACAAAGTTTTGTCAAAAAAACAAAAACTTAATGTATGGTTAGGATCACAAGCTCTTAATGGCTAAAATCACAAAATTTTACTATTTTGACAGACGAAAAAAAATTCTTTATTAATATTTACATTAAACTTAGTATAAAAATAAAACTTACCGTTTTTAATTCCATGACGATATTGTTTGTTATTGAATATATATATTTTTATTAATATTAATCAATTAAAATGGTTTTGTAAAATCATGATTAGCATTTAACTGCAAACTGTAAATTTTAATAAATACCTTAGAATAATTAAAAAATATCTTGAATAAAAACTGTTATTATTAATTTAATAACACAGATACTCCCACAGTAATTTTGAAACAATATCATATATAACGAGGTTACTATTAGTGAAATATTGATTTTGATGGTGATAAAATGATCTAAATTTAAATGTGACCAAGATGTTAATTTTGTGGGTTGGCTCAGTGGTTAGAGTCATGGCTTTGAGATCGAAGGGTTTCAGGCTTGAATCCCGCCAATGATAGGATTTTTATTTAAATTAATGAATTAAATATGAATCCTAAAGCTTAGGTAGGATTTCCTACTTGAGCATGCACTGTTGGGTTCTAATTGACAATGCTATTTCTAAAGTGGCTCTAGAAAACAGTAACACAGCCTACACAAAAGACGAGGCTAATAACTCTAGCAGTTGATGCCGATAACACAAAAAAATTTTCAACTTTGTGATTCATAGTTAATATTTCTAATAAATAGGTTGAGTGTCTTTTCT